AATTTTCAAAATTCCAACTCGATTAAATTTGTACCGAATGTATTACCATATAGTACTTTTCGTATACATAACTACACGCTTCCAAAGCCAGCTCCCTATATATCGACCCTACTCCTCAACCTTAATTTGCATTCCAAATTTCAAGTTTTTAGTACATTTTAGTACTTTCTAGCTCTACCGGTTCGCCAAATAAAAATTGCATCACATTTAGTACTTTTCGTACCGTTCTAGTACGAATTTCCTAAAATCCAGCCGTATCTGTCACCTTTGACCAAGAATGACCCTCACCCAAAATTTCAAGATTCTATCTTCAGCCGTTTCGTCTGGGCGTCAGTCAATCACTTTACTCTTTTATTAGTATATATTTTTTAATGCTTACATATATTTTTAATTTGTCCTTTATTTTTCATTCCAGGCTTTTATGAATTATATATGCTCGAATTTCCGTATGATGACAATCGAAAACGATATACAAATTATTTGAAAATATGGCAGGACTGCCGATAACGATCAATATATATTTTGGAATTATCCTGATCGCTACATCGGAAACTAAAGCACACATTTATGGAATTCATGGAAAATAAGTTTAAATATAGTCATATAATTTAGACATCAAAAGCCGGAATTGTCATTTGAGATTCGGATTTAATTCTTTCCCAATATGTTTATAACGGTAGTCCAATGCTAAGTAAGCTTTTTATTCCTTTCACCTTTAAATTTTTGATTCCCTTTGCAACACTGGGAAAAAAATCTATGTCGAAATCACGATAGTGATCGCAATATTTAAGATAGAGATTTGATTGTATGTTTCGTAATGAAAATGAGATATATCGGGGAATTTTGTACACGGGTTTCAACCGAATATTCTGTAATTTCGGTATTTTGGGTTTCAATGTATAGCGAACCTATTAACTGAAAATTATTAATATTGTTTTTACTTGTTATTATTTGTCCTTATTTTATATATGGGTAATTGGATATTAGTATCAAAATTCTATGAATAGACAAAAACTCGATTCATAATGTCTTCTAAATTCCCATCTGTCAAAAATGTAAGTGCATTCTATCAATTATCGCGTGTCCATTCAATGATATACTTCTCAATTCATTTTTGTATTCTCACATAAAATAGCTTCAATTCAATGTCAATCCAATTAAAAAAATAATTTTGAAAATTTTCAATAATTGACAAATGAAGGAATAATGGAATGACATGATACCTATTTTCGTCAAAAATATCTCAAAACAACAACTACATGGTGCAATCAAAATAGATCTATACTAAATTCGTGGAAATGCAAATATGCTTCATAATATATTTTTGCAAATTTTTCGCGGTTTTCGATTTTTTCTCACCTTTTAAACCTTCCCTGGAGCTCCACGAACATTTCAAGACTAAGATAAGAAAAATCCGTTCAGCGGTTCTCGAATAACAAATAAAGAATAATGAATTTACTAAAAATACTATTTGTTTTTATTTACGGATACAACAAATATGGTAAGTATACATGCCCCTACGCATGCGACATAATTTGTGTGATGACGTCACAAGTTTTCATTCAACTGGTTGTATGCATTTTTTGCGCAAATTTCACAAAAATACCAGGCGTCCAGAAACAAATAGAAAGTAACCCGCAAAAAAATATGTAAAAAATTTTTTAGGCGCTCGAATTTTTTCGCGAGTGTTGCCAGACCAACATTTTCGTAATTTACATTCTACTTCATTCTGGGCGCCTGGTATTTCTGTGAAATTTACGCAAAATTGTACCAAATTTTTGGGATTTTTTTGTTTCAAATTCATTGGGAGGTATATTTAATAAGGTAGCCGCATCGGCCCAGCTGTTGGACAAATAAATGTCAAAAATGTTGTTGTAATGTTGAACCAAAAAATTAAAAAACAAAATTATAAATGAAAATCTCCGAATTTCTAATAGCTTTTTTTTGGCAATACTTTTATTAACATTTTCTACAAGAATTTGTGTAAAAAAATCTTGTCAATCTGTTTGTTTTGGCAAAATATTTTTGACATATCAAAATACAACAACCGATGTTTGTTGTAGAAATTCGCCGATGCGGCTACCTTGTATATCTACCTTGGGAGCGATTATTGTGACATTGGGCGTTATTGTTACTAATAAACTAATATTGTGAACCCCCACAAAGAGATTTTTTTAGAAGTCCATAAATGGACACAAATGTTTAGTATTTTTTTTTTAATCTGTTTATTGGTTTTATTTCAATAAACGAAGGAGGTACATGAAGAAATAACTCAACTACATACACTATTTACTTAATAGTACTTAATACAATGGTAGTGTAGAGTAACAAATTGATGAACGATGTCAGGCTCAGCTAGATATTTTCTTTCGGAAATTGCTCAAATCAGAACAAGTAGATAGAAAATTTAACTAATTGGCAAACAGCGGGCTTTTAGCTCCGTAACATGTACCAGGTTTAATATTCGCAACAACATTTTTGAACTCATATCAGGAAATAGATTTCAAAAAATTCAACATAACTGATTTGGTAGTCCTTAAAGAAAGATGGATGGAATTTTGCAGCAATGGATAGGGGGAATTCTGTAGTTTTATATATTTATTACACCTATAAAGGTGTTTTTTTAGCTATTATCTTTTTGGCAACACTGTTTTTAACAGTTTACACACATCTCGTGTTTTGTTTTTCTGTCATACATCTTCAGTTTGGTCCATAATTTAACGTTGAATCGTATATAATCATCAACGCTTTCAAATGATTGAATTTCATAACTAAAATGCGTGCTTTGTTAAGAAAGTTCATTGCGCGTTTCTTCAATTTTATGGCTGTATAATCGATCCATTGAATTGTATTGTACCCATATTCCAAACCTATCTCAATATTCCAAACCTACTTTCAAATATTAATCATAAGTCCAAATTTAAGAATTCCAGCTCTGCCTGTTCACCAAATTGTACCAGATTTGGTACCATTCTGCACTTTTCCTACACTCCCACGGTAACCTAAGTTGCCACATTCAGGATTCTATTTCTACCCGTTCACCAAAGTCCAAATTGGACCAAATTTTGTGCTTCTCGTACCCATAAGTACGAATTTCCAAAACTACTTCAGTCAGGCACTCCAATAATAACCTTAAGTCCACATTTAAAGATTCCAGCTCTATTCGATAACCAACATCCAAATTCAGTACCATTTATTACATTTCGTAGATGTAAGCACGAGTTTCTAAAACTTCCTCAATTCCACACTGCAACAGTAATTTTAATCATAAATCTCAATCATGTGCAATAAAACGGCATATACATTAGAACTTTTTACCAGGTTAACCTACTTTTTGAGGATTTATTTGACATATATGCAAAGGAATTGACAATTGAAACCCACTGGGTTAACGAAATCCGGAGAAATGTAAACGTACTATAACAGTAATTTTATTTTAAAATATAAATTTCCCATCTCTATCATTTCATTCAAATCTAATTTGTACTAAACTTAGTACCATTTAGTGCACATAATTGCGAATTTTTAAAACTCCAAATTTCAGGATTTCCGCTCACACAAAATGAATTGTACCATATAGTGCTAGTGAAAATACTACCTTAATTCTGTAATTTTCATTCGAGATTTAAATTTTCCATCTCTATACGTTAACAAAAATCTAAATTGTACCAAATTTTGTGCCATTTAGTACACGTAATGACGAAATTTCAAAACTACTGATATTTCTCAATCCTGCACTCCAAGTGTAAGGTTAATTCAAAATTTCAGAATCTCAGCCCTATCCGTTCACACAAAAGCAATTTGTAAACTGGTACCAAATTTATTATTATTTCTTTCTATATTTAATAATAATTTTAATTCCAAAATTCTGGAGTCCAGATCTATACGTTCACACATAATCATGTTGTACCAAATATAGTACCGTTTAGTACACATATGTAATATGCTTCCATATTTCAATTCTATATTCCAACAGCAACCATTAATTCAAATTTTAGATTTCCAGCTCTCTGAAAATTGTACCAAAAATGTGTCTATAGCTCAATCTTCAATAGCAATCATAATTCCAAATTTCAAACAATGTAATTGATATGAATTAAAAGCCCAACCACAGCACACGGATGCATTAACAAATTCTGCGGTAAACGTATTACTCATAGAATGAACATTTTGGGAGTTTTAAATAATGGTTTATTTGAAACGCAGTTAACCAACCTCATCAAAACAGCCATGATTATCGGTACCTCAACGATTATCTGTCATCAACAGAGAATACCAATCGCAAAAGAAGAAGCAGAAAGCTAAAATACTTTGCCGCAAACACAATAATGAATTGTTGTTTAAATAAAGAAAACATAATTCAGGCCGCCAGCGTCTAAACATTTAAATAAGTGTTTTATTTTTACAAACCACCACCAGTTCCTAATTAGCAACACGTAAGTATCGCCTGTATACTTCTTGTGTTATATAATATTCATATTTATTGTTGTTCGTATTTGTGCAACGAATACTTTCGGCTCTAAAGCTACTCTGTAAATTTAGAACCCCTACAAGTCCATACGCCTGTATCGGAACTTGTAATTCAAAGCCTTCAGGCCCTTCAATAAAAATTAATTTGCTGCTTCAAACTTTCCCAGCAGGCAAATCGAGCAAATTGAATAAGAGAAGATAATTTATATTTTAATGGGTAACTTTTAAAAACCTAATTTGTCATATCGAAATTGACGCGAGCATTACGTTCAAATTAAATCAGGTGAATATTGCAGTTCCTTATGTAATTCTACTATGATAAATACAACGGAAACATTTTTGCTTTAGTTTTTTTTTTTTGCTTATTGGTTTTGTAAATACAATTAAGTACATAATAACAACAATGTACAAATTAAGTGTATAAATATAGGTATGCATATGTGTATAGAGGCAGTATATAATTGTAACATTTGTTCTACTTATGTATAAGTACAATATTGTTTTTCTAATTTTATAAACAAAATCACATTTCACAACGATTTATTCGATTTATCACAAGATTCTTGCATTCTTAATTTGTAGTTTTCCTCCGCAGCTTGAAGTAATGCGGATGCTGTTGCCAAACCTGTATGGTCAACTAAATTGCGTAGGAAACCTCCGGGTTTCTGTAACAACTCGAATGGATGACCCAACTCGACCGCTTGACCGGCGTCCATTACCAATATGCGATCGCAATCCATAACGGTATGTAAACGATGAGCTATTGTTAAGACGGTACATTTAGAGAATTTTGTGCGTATTGTCTTTTGTATAAGTTTATCCGTCCTATAAAAATAAATAATACTCTTTAATAATTGAAGAAACAATAATCATATATCGAACTTCCTCTTTAAATGAAGAAAATACCAATAGAAATTAAAAAAAATAATAATAAATTATCCAAATTTGGAATTGAGGCACTAAATTTCAACAGACAATTTTAGATATAAAATTTCAATCGAAAGCCCGAATCAGTCCAATCATGAATAGCAATTATGTAAGGGATTTATTTATTTTCATGATTTCCTATCGTCCTATCATGAATAAAAATAAGAAAATTTTCGCTTACAACATTCCACATTGTTTATTTTATAAAAATTCCATTGGTTTGTTTTGGGTTTTCAATAACAAAAGAAAATTAAACAATATCGAATGTTGTTAAAAGTTACATGCAATGTTAAAGTGTCTACCGATCAACAGCTTATTGATTTGGTAAAAAGCACAAAAAAACATTTTCAAATATTTAGTATATTTTTATGTATTCACTTTTGTATTTTATTTCATATTTTTTTTGAAAATTTGGAGTAGTTCATGTATTGTTGTTAATGATATGATTAAGTGATATACTGTTAATTTTAAGCTTTTGGAGTAGTCCATGTAAAGAAGTTTTTGGAATCGCTCATGGCCCTTTGGGCTAGGTTCTTGTTTATGAAATAAATTGAAATTGAAAATTAACAACAAATTATGTCTTTTTCTCAATTTATAGATCATCGAAAATGTGTTTTGAATTTCTTATGGATATTCATGATGGGGCTGAATAAGAACTATACTCTCTGATAAAATAATACAGTTGGTATAATACGTATGTTATAATAATTGTAAATTATGTACTTTTACATATACACAACTGCTTCTTTGTTTTTTTGGTAACTAATATGGGAATAAAATAAATAGTAAAACTCACTCTGGATCCACATTTGCCGTCGCTTCATCCAATATTAGTAGTTTATTCTTTCTTAGTATTGCCCTTGCCAAACAGACCAATTGCCTCTGTCCCACGCTGAAATTAGATCCACCGTCGTACATACGGCAATTAAGTCCCCCTATTAACGTTGAAACATGTCCTTTAAGTTCAACCTCCTCTAGTGCTTTCCACATATCAACATCATTGCATTCATCTAATGGATCCAAATTGTACCGCAATGTACCAGAAAATAGGACGGGATCTTGAGGTATTATTGATATATTACTTCTCAAATCGTACAGGCCCAATTTTTCTATGTTAATGCCATCAATATATATTGCACCTTCGTTACACGCCAAACGAAATATGGATTGGACAATTGAGGACTTGCCTGCACCCGTCCTACCAACAATGCCAATTTTTTCATTTGGTTGTGTAGCAAAATTCAAATCTTTCAAAACATAACCGTCCTTCGGGCTGTATTTAAATTTGAAATTTACGAACTCAATGCGGCCTTCACTAGGCCACTCACCCTTCGGCTTGTTTTGTTCTTCTGTTTCCATTGAAGGTTCTGGAGGTTGCAATGTGTACTCCAATATGCGTTCGACACTAGTCATTTGATTCTCCAGTTCTGCCGTTTGACGCATACCCCACTGGCACATCCCAATTGTTGTTATTGAATGTAAAATGGCCAAGCCCACGTCGCCGCTATTGAAGTCTGCACTCAATACTAGGAAACTAAATGTTACAACGCTTATGTAGAACACACAAATCACATCTGTCCACAACGCAAAGGCACGCGTACAAGAAAAAAACAGAAACCATGCTGACGTGTTTGCATTTTGATAGCCATGGAACTCCGCTTCTAAGGCATGTTCGGCTTCCAAGGCTCTTATTGTTGAAAGTCCTTGAAATGTCTGATTTGTGAGAGAATATACTGGACTACGAGCTGAAAGATGCAAAGTATTCAGTGTATATATATATATATATATATGTTTTATTACACATATATGTAGTGTAATAAAACAAACATCAATAGCTTAAATAATAAGCTATGAATTATTTATTCTGAAATACTAATGTAATATACATACATATTGATTCCAAACGCTTCACACTGCGACTTGTCTTTATATACACAAAACGTATGCCCACTAAGCATACTAATATCACAAATGCAGGTATTAAAAGCCAGAAGTTGGCGATAGCCACAATTAGTAGAACGCCAGATATATCGATTGCGAACTAAAATCATACAATGTAACATTAAATCGAAATTAAAATAGAAACACATTATCAAAAATACCGTACTAACCGATAAACAATCCATTAGAGTGTGTGGTAAATCAGCATCGACTGTCCGAATGTCTTTTGAAAATCTGTTAAGTATTCGTCCAGAGGGATTTGTATTGAAGAAGTACATGCTTGTGCGAGTAATGCCCCGAAATAGACGATCGTGTAATTTTAGGGAAATTCTTAGGCACATTTTATAGAAGCCAAATGTTCTCAACAAATATACAATTAGCGTTGAACCTAGCATTGCTGAATATATAACCACACGTTTATGTCGTTCATGATCGTCATGGCCACCACTTTCATTTAAGGATGTTGTGTAATTTCCAATGCCCGATACGGTATCATTTATTGTGCGACCAATATGTTCTTCCCATATAACCCTGAAATATAAAATAACGGGGTATTTAAAACAAAATAATATAATGTTATCGGTTTTAATTTCACCGAGCCCCGTTTAGGACAAAAATATAATTTTTGTAACCGCGACAAAATTATTTAAGTGTTTGGATGTGTAATCCCTAAAATTATTATGCACATTCCATACAAACAACCATACAATCAAAATGTCTACGGAAAACGAATTTCTTTAAATTTCAAATGGGTAAATAAGAATAAAAATAAACTGTAACTTTTACCATATTCAGTTTTGTTTTTATGTCTCTTTCATGACATAATTCATGGTACAATTATAAAAGGTAACAGCAAATCCCAGCTGATTTGATTCCAACGTAATACTAGTGTCAATATGAATTTGACAAATTATGTTTTTAAAAATCACCCAACAGGAAAATTGGGAACGCATACAATTTGAAATTGTTCATTATTAAATGTGCTCCTGTATTCAATTTACTCAATCTGCCTGCTGGGAAAGTTTCAGGAAGCAAATCTTTCTTCAAGGAATAACTCGCTATTCCCAGCATTTTCATATGTGTTACACATATATGTGGCAATGGCTCAATTATAGGAAAGATGTGGAAGCGATAGAAATATACATTTGAAAGATTTTCATTCATGTTTTTCAATTTTTATTTTGAGGATTCGAAAATATTTCATTTTCAAAATAAAAATAATTTGATGATAATTTGTTTGTTTGTTTACATTTTCTGTCAAATGAGTTGACACTAGTAGAACTTACAAAAACAAATTTCCATGTGGTTGTTGTATCGTTTTTTGTACAACAACACTTGCTGTTACCTTCTATTATTATACCATGGACATAATTATACAAGGTAAGGCCCCCAAGGCACACCATAGGGTACCTTGACTGTTTTAGTACTTTTGCAGCATGACATAATTATGGAAGGTAGTCTCATTTGAGAAATTGATATTGGCAACTCTTTTTAATATGGAATTCACAAAGTTACCTATAATTCAACGAAGCGTACAAAGATATTCAACTTCCCCACTATGGCAAAATTTTTTGTACGGCCGTATTTCCCAAATACGTCGAATCCTCTTAGCGAACTAAACAAAATCGAGAAATAAATTAAGAAATTATAAATTGTGTTCAAATATTTCATATTCTTATTGAAAAAAATTATATTTCTTTATGTTTTGTCTCTTTTTTCAACAAAAGAAAAAACAAAACTACGTTCTGTCATAGTTGAATTTTTTCAACTTTGAAAATTTTTACGTCGACGTATTTCGGTAACATTCATATAAATACATGTGTTCTACTTTTGTCGTGAAAAACGTCGAACGAGCTAGTTGAATTTTAGGTAAGGCTGTCATATATCAATTTCAAATAAAATGGAAAATAAATTCCATAACATTTTTGGTCTGTTCCCGTACTGCAAGAATCTACTAGATCTTACTATTTTCTTCGATGTCATAAAGGAAAATACGTTATCCTAGTACAAAATCGAAGATTCTTGCAGTACGGGAACAGACCATTTATGTGTGTCAATCGGCATATTTTCAATAAATTGAACAAAATATACTTTCTAAAGCGTAACATTCCTCGGAAGATTTAACATGGTTGTTAGAACTTATATTTAAAAGTTTTAGATGCAGGGAACTTCAAAATATTTATAAATATAAATGATTTACCAATTTTTGCCACTGAACACATGATATACGTATATTTTGAAGAAAGATATTTTCATTTAAATTTTAAAAGCTGAATGAATTTATGAAAAAATTGGAAACATATGACAGCATGAGACTACCTTGTATAATTATGAGACTACCTTGTATATTTGAAAATTGAACACATAAAAAAAACAAAAATTTTAAAATAACAAAATTATAAGGCTTCAGAACAAAAAGTGTTCAATGGTGCCCCCACACCCCTACACAAAGCTTTACTTGGCTAATTATTTTTTATACATTATGCCAATACGTAATACGTAAATATATGACAATACTCTAAAAATGTACCTTAAGAATATATCCAAAAACAAAAAAATTAGGTTCTAGATAAGATAGACGTAAACAATTTATATATGAGGTCAACAAATCTCAGTTTTTGTCACTGATAAAAAAAATTCATACGCTCTGGGCTCAAACATAAAAGTGCATTATTGATGATTCTAAAAATCAAATAATCAGAATGTCTAAGAAGACGTTCCGAGCACTTTGCCGGGGTAATTACTATTTTCTTCGATGTCATAAAGGAAAATACGTTATCCTAGTACAAAATCGAAGATTCTTGCAGTACGGGAACAGACCATTTATGTGTGTCAATCGGCATATTTTCAATAAATTGAACAAAATATACTTTCTAAATCGTAACATTCCTCGGAAGATTTAACATGGTGGTTAGAACTTATATTTAAAAGTTTTAGATGCAGGGAACTTCAAAATATTTATAAATATAAATTATTTACCAATTTTTGCCACAGAACACATGATATACGTATATTTTGAAGAAAGATATTTTCATTTATATTTTAAAAGCTGAATGAATTTATGAAAAAATTGGAAACATATGACAGCATGAGACTACCTTGTATAATTATGAGACTACCTTGTATATTTGAAAATTGAACACATAAAAAAAAAAAATTTTTAAAATAACAAAATTATAAGGCTTCAGAACAAAAAGTGTTCAAAGTGTTCAACCCCTACACAAAGCTTTACTTGGCTAATTATTTTTTATACATTATGCCAATACGTAATACTTAAATATATGACAATACTCTAAAAATGTACCTTAAGAATATATCCAAAAACAAAAAATAGGTTCTAGATAAGATAGACGTAAACAATTTATATATGAGGTCAACAAATCTCAGTTTTTGTCACTGATAAAAAAAATTCATACGCTCTGGGCTCAAACATAAAAGTGCATTATTGATGATTCTAAAAATCAAATAATCAGAATGTCTAAGAAGACGTTCCGAGCACTTTGCCGGGGTAATGCTAAAATCTTAAAATTAAATAGGCAAATAATTGAATAAATGGGCAAAGCGAACTGGAAAGCGTGAAAGAAGAATCTTTCTATAAAGAACTAATTTGCTTAGTCCCTTCTTGTTCGCTACAATCGTAATTCAATCGTAATAAATATATACGTACCACCGGGAAAGGAAGTAGTCAACGCCATTTAGCATTACGCGAGCGCATATGAAAAGGCCAACTATTAAAACTAGTAAAAATGTACTCTCAAGTGCCTGGAAATAGGATAAATATACGTCTAACTTCACCGAACCAACAGCTTGCGCTTCTTTGTTGGCATCTTCGACGGGCGTTTCATCCGGCCTTAATACTGGATGGTAATGGTCTGTACTTTTTTCCGAATCACTCCGAGACATAACACTGACTTCATCTGCAGCACCTTCGCCGTTTGTTCCTGGTCCGCAATCGTGATGGGTTTGCGCCAAAAATTGAAATTGTTTTGATTTCTGCAACTGCTGATAACTTCCTTGGGCTACTATATTGCCTGCGCCCATAAGTAACAGATGTTTAACATCGAAAAGGTATTGCAGTTGATGTGTGACTAGTACCCGTATTTTATTTGATAAGAAGTCATTAACACATCTCTCAAATATATGCTTTCCGACGTTTGTGTCAACGGCAGACAAAGGATCGTCTAGGAGATATATGTCTGCTTTGCGGTAAACAGCTCTAGCCAAATTTATTCGTGCTTTCTGACCTCCACTTAAACTAACGCCGCGCTCACCAATCATTGTCAAATCTCCTCTTGGCATTAATTCGAGATCTCTTTCCAACGCACATACCTTTAAAACTCGTTTGTATCGCCTCTCATTAAAGTCCTCCACAAACACCACATTGTCTCGTACAGTTCCCTCAAAAACCCACGGCTCCTGGGAGCAGTACGATATTTTTCCGTTAACCAACACTTCTCCAGAATCAATTTGCACTTCTCCCAATAGTACGTTAAGAAAAGTCGATTTACCAGCGCCAACCGGCCCAACCACAGCCGCCAGACTTCTATCTTTAATTTCGCAATTTAATTTTTCTACTGCTTGATTTGAATAGCTACCTGACGCTGTACATTCCCAACTCGCGTTTACATCGCGTAGTATAATATTTTTGTTGGGGGATTCAAGATCAACAATCCTTGTTTTTCTAACGGGACTCGGTGCCTCAGTAGACCCATTATCACACTTTCCAATACGGTCACTGTGCTGCAATCGACTCTTATTGTTGTTTGTTAAATACTTTCTTACATATTTATTTTTCCTTTTCTTTTCTAATTGTAGCGGTGCCTCAGCCTGGTCGCCATCTAATAGAAATTCTTTACATCTGCGTGCCGAAACACAGGCTTCGGCTAAGAATGTAATGGAGAGGGGCCAAAAATGGACCATAGAATCATTCAACATATTGAAGTATGACGAAACTGTATACACTCGTTTTGCTGTCAAGGCGTCACCCAAATAGACATATGATACCAATGCCATAAACACTGACAGAGGCGATATCATGGAAGTACAGCTTAAAGCGGCATGGATATACGACGTCCCGCGAATAGCCTTAACCTCCTTTAGACGCACCTCTGCAACAACTTTTGCAAATGATTTCTCCCATGCGTACATTTTTATCACCTGTATCCCCTGAATTATTTCGTTCATCAATTTCACCCGTATGTCAGTTCGCTCCGCTGTTTTCTGACGGTAATAGGCGGCCTTCTTTGCGGCCCATGCCTGTAGTGGAATAAAACTTAACATAAAAGCGACACCAATTACAGCAGAAATACCAATTTCACGATACATTAAATATCCTATTAAAACAGATTCTGCTGGGCCCTTCCACACGTCGTGCAGAAAACATAAGGCCACATCGAATCTTCCCAAATCGTTTGAAAGAATGTTAATCGCTCGTCCTCGCAATGCATCATTGGAAGCACTTTTCGAAAGTTTTAGACATTTCCGATATATGAGACCGGATAATGCTAGACGAATTTTCGTGCCCACTTGAAATATGTAGAATATAAAGGGGTGGAACGTCAGCACAGGAATAATGGAGCACAAAACGATACCGCCGGCAAACAAATAAGCGTTTTCTTTGCTTATAGAATGTTGACCACTAGCAAAATATGCGACGAGTCCACCTAGAAATAGGGGCTGCATTGCCCTGTAAGTATACCAAAAATTAAGTTTATACTCAAGCCCTCAAATACACGTAGAATATTTGACTTACTTGGTTGCAGTTTCACATATTGAATACAGCACACCTAGCGGTAAAAACACCATACCATACGCTTTGACGATCATGCGAACCACGCTAGGATTCTTCTTTGTTCGTTCATTCTCCCACAACCGACTGAACTTTTCCGTGACCCGCTCACTATCCAAATTTTTGCGGTGCTGATAAAGCTCTTCATCTTCCAATGGTCCCTTAAGGCCCCGCCGAAAGAGATCTTTCATCCACCTGCAAACAACAATTATAAATTTGTAATATTGACATGTACATACATAATTATTTAATTTTTAATCCAAAATTAATAAATTGAACAATAAAATGACCAAATATCTTGCAGTTAAAATATATGAAAATGATCAACATTAAAAAGCATGCAGTTCGCAGAAATCGTTGAAATCAGTTGATGCGCATGTTTTCCCTTACAACGAGCCAATCTCTTCCAAAAAAATTGAATTTTTTTGATGTTTCATTCAGCGATTAAAGTGTACCGCCTGACGCATTTTACTATGCAAAAACCCTTACAATGGATATATATTACGTAACGTGCATAAGTTGTTTATGCGCATCCGATTTTCGTAATCGTGAAAATACACAAAAGTACACCTATTTTAAAAGGATTGGTTAAGATCCGCGGATGTGCCGCCACAATTAATTTTTACATATATTAACACAGATTTGCGAATATGATAACTTGCAAAATCAATTAAATAAACGAGATTATATACGCGAATTTGTCAAAATAAGTATTTGCTGTTTTTTTCTATATTCTATATTCAATATCCGCCGTTTTATTGTCCGGAATTGAACATAGCTGGGCTAATTAGATTCGGCACGTAAAAAAAAACTAAAATCATCATTAAATTTATACAAAAAATAGGTTGTTTATAAAAATGTTCGCACTAAATTATCGTTTTTGGAATCCAATTGCAAAGAAGCTACGGTGAGCACATTCAAAATATATACACTAAACGAAGCAAAATCACAAATTCTACAATCCTATAATCAGTTAAAGCCATTATCTGATTGCGAGTCCTGGTTATAAGAAAAAAATCAAATAAGACCGAAAATTCGGCTTCAAAATGTTAGCATCCGTTTTTATAATGAGAACATTAAATCGTATCGTAAATTTTAAAAAGGTGTATCCCAAAAAGAAATATCTGAAAAGTATAATGTCCATAAATCAACAGCATCCCGTGTTATAAAAAGAGGGAAACACAAAGACAGTACATAGTGGTGGAAGAAAACGTACGACTATTCCAAAAGTGGAGTAGTATAATTATATAATAGTATAATTAATAATAACATCATATAACATCCACAGAAATTGAATATATCTAAGCAAACGAAATATATCTTATAGCCCAAACAATAGATATCCAATGAAAATTGGTGTGTGCTTGATTGGCCTACACAGTCACCTGACCTAACTCTTATAGAGAACCTTTGGGAAATTGTATAACGAAAAATTTGGAATCAAATTAAAAAAATAAGGATATCTATGATGCCCTGAATGATGAGAGGAATAACATCCCAAACGACATAGTTGATCATTTAATCGACTTCATGCCAATAATTGGTCTGTTCCCGTACTGCAGGAATCTACTATATTTTACTATTTTCTTCGATATCATAGGAAAATTCGTTATCGTAGTAAAAAGTAGTAGATTCTTGCAGTACGGGAACGGACCAATTATTGGCATGAAGTCGATTAAATGATCAACTATGTCGTTTGGGATGTTATTCCTCTCATCATTCAGGGCATCATAGATATCCTTATTTTTTTAATTTGATTCCAAATTTTTCGTTAATTAACCTACATGGTTATGATATCGATTACTAACAAAAAATAAAAACTTTTTAAAATATCCGAACAAAGTAGTTCACTCTCAGAATTACGTACATGAATTAACCCGTTCATACAACACTATTCATAATTCATGTCATCAGAGTTTTTTATTTCAAACTTTTTGTTTCTTGTTTTACACCCATGGTATAATAATAGAAGGTAACAGCAAGTGTTGTTATACAAAAAACGATACAACAACCACATGGAAATTTGTTGTTGTAAGTTCTACTAGTGTCAACTCATTTGACAGAAAAATGTAAACAAACAAATTATCATCAAATTATTTTTATTTTGAAAATGAAATATTTTCGAATCCTCAAAATAAAAATTTAAAAACATGAATGAAAATCTATCAAATTTATATTTCTATCGCTTCCACATCTTTCCTATAATTGAGCCATTGCCATATATATGTGTAACACATATGAAAATGCTGGGAATAGCGAGTTATTCCTTGAAGAAAGATTTGCTTCCTCAAACTTTCCCAGCAGGCAGATTGAGTAAATTGAATACAGGAGCACATTTAATAAAGAACAATTTCTAATTGTATGCGTTCCCAACTTTCCTGTTGGGTGATTTTTAAAAACATAATAGGGATCTAAATAATACATAGGTATCTAAATAGACTATGACTATAGTATGAACCCATTGAACAACGTACAAAAGTCGGTGTTCGCTCAGACAATTTTGTATGGGGAACAAAGTAATTACTTCATAATTAAGGGTCGAACAACGAATGAGAGAGCGAACAACGCTCGTCTGTACATGGCATTAGAATATTCTTTAACAGCCTTACCTAAAATTCAACTAGCTCGTTCGACGTTTTTCACCACAAAAGTAAAACACATGTATTTATATGAATGTTACCGAAATACGTCGAACGTACAAAATTTCAAGTTGAACAATTTCAACTTTGACAGAACGTATTTTTAATTTTTTTTCTTTTGTTGAAAACAAAAACAAAACATTCTGGAAATTTGAAATTTCGAATGGAAACTAAAAATATGTGGATTAATTTAATAAATTTTCAATTTTGTTTTGCGGTTTGTATTATTTGTTTGAAGATATGGATTCGACGTATTTGGGTAATACGGCCGTAAACAACATTTTGCCATAGTGGGGAAGTTGAATATTTTTGTACGCCCCGTCGGATTTTAGGTAACGTTGTAACAAATTCAAAATTTCTAACAACGTTACCTAAAATTCAACGAAGCGTGCAAAAATATTCAACTTCCCCACTATGGCAAAATTTTTTGTACGGCCGTATTACCCAAATACGTCAAACCCATTTCTCTTAGCGAACTAAACAAAATCGCGAAATTAACTTAAGAAATTAAAAAAGGTGTTCAAATATTTCACATTCTTATTGTAAAAATTATATTTCTTTATGTTTTTTCTATATTCTATATTCAATATCCGCCGTTTTATTGTCCGGAATTGAACATAGCTGGGCTAATTAGATTCGGCACGTAAAAAAAAAACTAAAATCATCATTAAATTTATACAAAAAATAGGTTGTTTATAAAAATGTTCGCACTAAATTATCGTTTTTGGAATCCAATTGCAAAGAAGCTACGGTGAGCACATTCAAAATATATACACTAAACGAAGCAAAATCACAAATTCTACAATCCTATAATCAGTTAAAGCCATTATCTGATTGCGAGTCCTGGTTATAAGAAAAAAATCAAATAAGACCGAAAATTCGGCTTCAAAATGTTAGCATCCGTTTTTATAATGAGAACATTAAATCGTATCGTAAATTTTAAAAAGGTGTATCCCAAAAAGAAATATCTGAAAAGTATAATGTCCATAAATCAACAGCATCCCGTGTTATAAAAAAGAGGGAAACACAAAGACAGTACATAGTGGTGGAGGAAAACGTACGACTATTCCAAAAGTGGAGTAGTATAATTATATAATAGTATAATTAATAATAACATCATATAACATCCACAGAAATTGAATATATCTAAGCAAACGATATATATAAAAGTCTCAACCCAAGATATACAAAAGGGCTCAGTAAAACATGGTGGAGGCAACATTATGGTGTGGGGGTGTTTTTCCGGACAACGTCAATTGTCCCGATTCATAAAATAATGGAATTATGTTGTTATGTTGATTACCAAAGTAGTTTATCTGACGTAATGTTGCCTTAGGCATCTTGGAATATGCCTCTTCCATAGGTGATTCGACGCGATCGGGTCCTTATAGCCCAAACAATAGATATCCAATGAAAATTGGTGTGTGCTTGATTGGCCTGCACAGTCACCTGACCTAACTCTTATAGAGAACCTTTGGGAAATTGTATAACGAAAAATTTGGAATCAAATTAAAAAAATAAGGATATCTATGATGCCCTGAATGATGAGAGGAATAACATCCCAAACGACATAGTTGATCATTTAATCGACTTCATGCCAATAATTGGTCTGTTCCCGTACTGCAGGAATCTACTATATTTTACTATTTTCTTCGATATCATAGGAAAATTCGTTATCGTAGTAAAAAGTAGTAGATTCTTGCAGTACGGGAACGGACCAAATATGTGCAGAAGTCATTAACCTACATGGTTATGATATCGATTACTAACAAAAAATAAAAACTTTTTAAAATATCCGAACAAAGTAGTTCACTCTCAGAATTACGTACATGAATTAACCCGTTCATATAACACTATTCATAATTCATGTCATCAGAGTTTTTTATTTCAAACTTTTTGTTTCTTGTTTTACACCCATGGTATAATAATAGAAGGTAACAGCAAGTGTTGTTGTACAAAAAACGATACAACAACCACATGGAAATTTGTTGTTGTAAGTTCTACTAGTGTCAACTCATTTGACAGAAAAATGTAAACAAACAAATTATCATCAAATTATTTTTATTTTGAAAATGAAATATTTTCGAATCCTCAATATAAAAATTTAAAAACATGAATGGAAATCTATCAAATTTATATTTCTATCGCTTCCACATCTTTCCTATAATTGAGCCATTGCCATATATATGTGTAACACATATGAAAATGCTGGGAATAGCGAGTTATTCCTTGAAGAAAGATTTGCTTCCTCAAACTTTCCCAGCAGGCAGATTGAGTAAATTGAATACAGGAGCACATTTAATAAAGAACAATTTCTAATTGTATGCGTTCCCAACTTTCCTGTTGGGTGATTTTTAAAAACATAATAGGGATCTAAATAATACATAGGGATCTAAATAGACTATGACTATAGTATGAACCCATTGAACAACGTACAAAAGTCGGTGTTCGCTCACACAATTTTGTATGGGGAACAAAGTAATAACTTCATAATTAAGGGTCGAACAACGAATGAGAGAGCGAACAACGCTCGTCTGTACATGGCATTAGAATATTCTTTAACAGCCTTACCTAAAATTCAACTAGCTCGTTCGACGTTTTTCACCACAAAAGTAAAACACATGTATTTATATGAATGTTACCGAAATACGTCGAACGTACAAAATTTCAAGTTGAACAATTTCAACTTTGACAGAACGTATTTTTAATTTTTTTTCTTTTGTTGAAAACAAAAACAAAACATTCTGGAAATTTGAAATTTCGAATGGAAACTAAAAATATGTGGATTAATTTAATAAATTTTCAATTTTGTTTTGCGGTTTGTATTATTTGTTTGAAGATATGGATTCGACGTATTTGGGTAATACGGCCGTAAACAACATTTTGCCATAGTGGGGAAGTTGAATATTTTTGTACGCCCCGTCGGATTTTAGGTAACGTTGTAACAAATTCAAAATTTCTAACAACTTTACCTAAAATTCAACGAAGCGTGCAAAAATATTCAACTTCCCCACTATGGCAAAATTTTTTGTTTCTTTTTTTCAACAAAAGAAAAAAACAAAACTACGTTCTGTCATAGTTGAAATTCTAACAACGTTACCTAAAATTCAACGAAGCGTACAAAAATATTCAACTTCCCCACTATGGCAAAATGTTTGTAAAATCGCGAAATTAACTTAAGAAATTAAAAAAGGTGTTCAAATACTTCATATTCTTATTGAAAAATTATATTTCTTTATGTTTTGTTTCTTTTGTTCAACAAAAGAAAAAAAAACAAAACTACGTTCTGTCATAGTTGAATTTTTTCAACTTTGAAAATTCGTACGTCGACGTATTTCGGTAACATTCATATAAATAAATGTGTTCTACTCAAGGTATATTAAGAAGGTAACCGTATCAAACCAGGTGATTGTAACATTAAATGTCACAACAATTTTAATACGACGTAAAATAAAAAAAAAATAGAAATTGAAAACATTTCAAAATAAGGAACAAAAAAGGAGAAAAATAATCGACATCGATACTGGCCATTGGGAGGAAACATTGGGATTTCCAAATGATGACCATATGGCCGTAAAGAAGATTTCGGGATGGAACCATAACTTTTCAAACGATTATCTCTCATATCTCTCCTATTTATAGAAGATTTGTCGAAGGTCTGGCTTTATAAGATTATAGGTTTTTCTTCGATTAGATTAATTTATTGGACATATGGACAAATAAATTTGATTTTGTTGTTGAAAAGACGCCCCATCATTGTTTTATTAATATACATAATGATCTAAGAAGAAAGAAACTTATTTTGTTCTCTAAAAGAAGGCCGTTTGGTATTGTTGAAATTTGAAATTCAATTTTGTTGGAATTCCTTTAAAGAAGTGGACACTAAAACACGTTTTGTATGCCTTTATGTTTATTTACAATTTTCTAAATTTCAATTGAAGTCCATTAAAACAACAGCAAAATGGGTCACGTCTTGTACCATTCCCATACTATGAAGTTGATTTAAACCGCATTTTGAAATTTATTATTTTCAGTGTTCGCAAAAAAAAACGGTACACTATCGTAGTGTACCGTACCAGGAACACAAACACTAAAAAAATTTTAGCGTTAGTGTTCCGGTACACAAACATTAAAAAATATTTTAGTGTTACTGTTCCGGAGCACAACGAAATTCGTAGTGTACCGCTGTCGGAGCACTAAAAATCGTAGTGTACCGCGGTCGGAACACTAAAAAATGGCACAACGGTAGAGACTTTTATAAGAAGACGATGGAATCGAAAACAAGACTGAAATCAAAATAGATTTATCTTCTCTGTATGCTATTGTTTTTAAAATTTCATGTGATGGCATAAAACACTACGGTCTGGTGTTATTTTTATACAAAAATCAGATATTTACACAAACATTTACAATTTTTAAAATATTCAAAAAATAAACAAATAATTTTCATTTTTCAAAATGCTTTATTCTGATTGGTGGAAGTTAATTTGCTTCGAGTTTTTTACGTCAAGGCGAAATTATTATTATTCGCCTTGTTAACAATTTTGACATATCATGTTCCCAATTCGCCGACGCGGCTACCTTATATATCTACCAAGGTATATTAAGAAGGTAACCGTATCAAACCAGCTGATGGTAACATTATATGTCATAACAATTTGTTGTTGTTGTTTTTGATTTTTTTTCAATCCCATTTCCAAACAAAAATTTAAAAATTGAAATATATTTGAAAATAAAGGAAAAAAAGGATAAAAGGCGTAACGGTAGGCTATGGAGATGATATTTCTTTAAGAAGACCATGGAATCAAAAACAAGACTTTGGGATCAAAAAGAAGATTTGGTTCGATAGGTCCTTTTTGTCTTCTTTATATATTGTTTTCAAAAATTTCATGTGAGGGCATGACAAAACTACGTAAAGAATAGCTTAAATCTTGTTATCTCTCACTACATCCGATGTCACCAACATTATCACATTTAAGGCGCGCTTTTGATGTATATTTCTACTCAAAAATCAGATACTAACACAACTTATTTTAAAAATTTTCAATTTTCAAAAGTAAACAAATATTTTTCTTTTTTCAAAATGCTTAATTCTGATTGGTTGAATTTTATTTGCTTCGAGTTTTTTATGTCACGGCGAAATTAGTATTATTCGCCTGGTAAACAATTTTGACATATCATGTTCCCAATTCGACGATGCGACTACATTGTATATCTACCTTGATATCTACCTTGGCTTTCAAGTATATTACTAAGGACAATTCTTTATATAATTATATAATGGTACAATTTTACAAGGTAACTGCCACTGTATTTTCATTTCAAATTTTTAATTCTGAATGTTTTTAAAAGTGAAATTATAAAAAACACTTAATTGTTTTTATTAAATTTCGCAAATAGTTTTATTTCTTTTTATAATTTTGAACACATTTATTCCGGAAAAAATATTTTTTCTATTTAAAAACTAATAAAAAAAATAGTCCAAAATTGCTCTGTTCATAAAAACAGTCGTGAATAACTTAAAACGAAAATAACACAAAAATGTTGAATAAACATTTTTAAGCTTTTGTTGTTGTTTTGGCATTGGCCACACACCGTTTTACATATACCAACAAATGTTCTATCGGATTAAAATCTCTTGCGCAGACCGTGGAATTACGTCAATTCTTTCTGAGTCAAATTAGTCCTTTGCGTTTTTGCTATATGTTTAGAAACATTATTCCGTTTAAATGTCAATTTATTAATCATTTCATAACCGGCTTATATTCATATACCGGACTATTCTATCTATTATATGGCATTTATGAGATTTTGCAAAACTTGACTTAGCGTTGGCATGTTTCCTTGCCAAAAGAGGAACCTTTTAGGACTTATTTTCGACCAATCTCGGGAGTATAGTCACATCACTGATTTGTAAATTTAAATTAGTTTATATAATTTCAGGGGAAACATAATGGTTCGCCCAATTATCAGCGATTATGAAAATAATTTATAACAGAAAACGATTTTAGAGGATATTCCATAAATAAATCAGTGATTTCTTGAAGTATACGTCGGTTTATGAAACTAGATCAGTAGTAACAGTTCATCTCGGAGGAAGAGTACAAAATAAAATTGTACTCATCAACAAATTGTCAGAGGATAAAAAACGCACATTCAGGAGTTCAGGGAATTGGTGAGAGGGATATAACCTCAAGAACAGAGCGTACACGAGCTGTGGTAACAGGTCTACAAATCCGAATCAGTCATAAAAGGTATTTATTTCTGAAAAGAATCGGAAAGACATGCTAGCTTTCGCAAAATCTCATATCAATTGGAGTCCAACCATGTGGAGAAATATTAATATTTAAGGCTCGCACACTAAAAAGGCTAGACTAAAGACTACAGCCTCAGCATTGCAAGATTTCTCTGAAGCATGGAGGTGGGTCAATAATGATATTGAGATGTTTTTATATTTATGGAGTAGGATCTATTCACGAGATTTAAGGTTTTTGTGTAAAAATGTGGTGAAAAACAGTTTGCAATTTCAGTTACTTTATGGCAAATCTAAATTGATAGAGAATACTTGTGGTTTATTTTTACGAAAACGTAAAGGGCTGAGCAAAGCTGTTCTAAAATATACATCTTCTCACCTTTATAGGGTTTGTTGAACGTCCGTATTAGCCAAATGCGAAAAGACCTTTACTGGTGTGTCAATTAAAAACGGCGTAAATGTATGAAAACATTTTCTTAATTAGCCGAAAAAAGTTCACATTTATGGAAAAACAAAGTTTTCAATTACTGGAATTCTTTATCAAAAAAAAAATAAATAAAACCCAGTTTTTTTGACTGTATCTCCAAACCGGGTAACCGGGTACGTCCCCCAAAGAAAAAAAGATATCCCCATAATTAGGGTTAAAATACCTACCTCTGGAAAAAATTTCAGAAAAATGTGATCGTTTTTACTAAATTGGAATTGTTCCGTAGGTTCAAAGAAAAATAAACCATAAATGGACTAGTAATGACTATTTAAAATTAGTTGATGATTCTTATTTGTCTTGTGCTGTTATTGAACAGCATCCATTTGTAATCACGACAGGGAAGACACACGTCAAAGAAATTTAGTTTTGTTACAAATGCACTCAATTATATTAATAAAAATGGCGCATGGAACACTTATGCGGGTAGCCGGCATGTCAACGTTAACTGGTAATGTACTACAATTTTGATTCACTGGTATGCAATTGCAACCGTAGCGTAGAAGAAGCACACTATTATATTCAATTGTATTTCTAAACCATTTACTCACCAAAAACTCCATCGTGACAAAAGATTTGCTGTGGAATAAGGATTTTTTGGCCGGATAATCTTTTTTCGGGTTCTATTCATACTCCTCGGTTCTAATAAAAATATACAGTTATCCGACCTTCAACAAAATACGATCACAAAATTCCTGCAGTTCATTAATTTACTGTTTTATATCACGAACAAAGAACAAAAGATACTGAAACAAATAAAATGGGAAGCGGTAAGAGTAAACAATGCTATCAGCTAGTTCCTCTGGTCTCGGTCTGATATTAAATACAAAGCGTGTGCCCCAACATGCGTCCACTGTTCCCGTCTGATTGTTTAGCAATTTCGTTAGATTTTGCAATTGGAAACGGTGTTGCCAGTTTTATTTTGGATCCTGTCCCCTAAAACTCCATGGATGTGTGTGATTCTACAATTGTAAACGGAGTTGCCAGTTTTATTCTGAGTCCTGGTAACTGACCCCAATAAAGATTTAAGTGGGCCGCAGACGATCATGCATACATGACATCAAAATCGTATACGTGTGCATGAAGCTTCAGCGCACACGGTTCATGCATTTTGCATTTGATTTCGTGCCGTACAGACAATGTTGACAACGGACGATACAATTTTTTCGATTTTGTCCTTGTGCTTAAAAAATAGAGAAAATGCTGAAAAAGGGCTGAGAACGACCGGGATACTTCCAACCAAGGTAGATATACAAGGTAGCCGCATCGGCGAATTTCTACAACAAACATCGGTTGTTGTATTTTGATATGTCAAAAATATTTTGCCAAAACAAACATATTGACAAGATTTTTTTACACAAATTCTTGTAGCAACGTTACCTATGATTCGACGGGGCGTACAGAAAAATTCAACTTCCCCACTATTGTAAAATGTTGTGTACGGCCGTATTACCCAAATACGTCGAATCCATATCTTCAAGCGAATAATACAAACCGCAAAACAAAATTGAAAATTTATTAAATTAATCCAAATATTTTATGTTCACATTCGAAATTTCATATTTTCTGAATGTTTTGTTTTTATTTTCAACAAAAGAAAAATACAAAAAATACGTTCTGTCAAAGTTGAAAATTTTCAACTTGAAATTTTGTACGCTCGACGTATTTCGGTAACATTCATATAAATACATGTGTTCTACTTTTGTGGTGAAAAACGTCGAACGAGCTAATTTTAGGTAACAGCCGTACCTGTTACATATTTGAATACGTTTTATAATTTCTTAATTTTATTTCGCGATTTTGTTTAGTTTGCTAAGAGAAATGGATTCACCGTATTTGGGTAATACGGCCGTACAAAACATTTTGTCATAGTGGGGAAATTGAATATTTTTGTACGCTTCGTTGAATTTGAGGCAACGTTATAAGGCTGTAGAAAATGTTAATAAAAGTATTCCCAAACAAGCTCTTCGAAATTCGGAGATTTTCATTTATAATTTTGTTTTTTAATTTTTTGGTTCAACATTACAACAACATTTTTGACATTTATTTTCCGATGCGGCCACCTTATTAAATATACCTTGCTTCCAACAACTCTATAACATTTTTTTCGCAGTATCCGACATCTCTATACAGCCATTCCCTTTGAAAACACGTCACAAATAAGAATATGCATGATGCCTCCACCGCACACACGTCAAAATCGAACGTCATGCATGCGAAAAATCAAAAATTTTTGATTTTGCTTCATGCATGCATGACCGTTTACGGGCCACTTTAAAAAAGTCCTGTGTAATAGCTCAATCTTTCTTAAGGCGCGTTTAGACTACAGCTTTCATCGTTATAAAGTGCATTATCTCGATTTGATTGCTTGATCGAGTTGAATTTACCTCGATTTACCATACAAATTTAAATCTATTCATTATATCGAGTTGATCGAAATACCATGCCAAATACGCGTTTAGACTATAGCTTTTATCGTGATAAAGTGCATTATCTCGATTTAGATGCTAAATAGAGTTGAATTTACCTCAATTTAAACTCCTTGTACATTAGAACTTTTTACCGGGTTAACATACTTTATGAGGATTTATTCGACATATATGCAAAGGAAATGACAATTGAAACCCACTGGGTTAACGAAATCCGGTACTGTTGCTATACAAAATTAAATCCACTTGATTACAAATTGACAAAGAAATCATGGAAGCAGTGAAATGTGTATGTATACGTTAACAAATAACAGTTGAGAAATCAACTTCATTTCATTTTAATACTAATCTAAACGACAAGTATTAAACTAGTTAACATTTCAAATAACTGTAGAACAACAGTTGCTGATTTAATTGATTTAATTTTTTTAATTTAAAATAAATATTACTGCAATTTAAATAACAAAACAAATGTTTTTATGCATTCCTAAACTAAAGGCTCAAAATTAAACCATGGCTGTTAAAACTTATATTTATAAGTTTTAGAGGCGGGGAATAAATTATTTAGCAATTTTTCCCACTGAACACATGACGATGCGTACAAATTGGAAACTTATGACTGCATAAAGCTAAGCAGAATGTTCGCGTTAAGCGTTTTTTGTTATCGCGTTAACGCACTCAAAAAGTTAAAATATATCTAACTCCGAAGCGCAGCGCACATCGACTTCGAGCGTTTGTGTTATCGTTGCTTCTGACATTGAAATTTAATAATCGACAACATTTGGTCTGTTCCCGTACAACAAGAATCTACTAGATTTTACTATTTTCTTCGATATCATAAAGGAAAATTCGTTATCGTAGTAAAAAATAATAGATTCTTGTTCTACGGGAACAGACCAATTGAGTTCTTTAATCACCAATAGTTTGTAAAGAAAAAATTTGAGTATAAAGAACTTACTTAAAAATTACTTTCAAATGATCACTGCCCTTACAAGGCAAAATTCAAATAACAAAAAATTTGAAAGTATGGGGGATTTTCAACAAATATAGCCGATAACGATTGCTCATTACAGCCATTAAAAATAGGCTTTGGATTTTTCAACACAGTGATGCCAAATTGGGGATTATATTCAATTGTATTTCTAAACCATTTACTCACCAAAAACTCCATCGTGACAAAAGATTTGCTGTGGAATAAGGATTTTTTGGCCGGATAATCTTTTTTCGGGTTCTATTCATACTCCTCGGTTCTAATAAAAATATACAGTTATCCGACCTTCAACAAAATACGATCACAAAATTCCTGCAGTTCATTAATTTACTGTTTTATATCACGAACAAAGAACAAAAGATACTGAAACAAATAAAATGGGAAGCGGTAAGAGTAAACAATGCTATCAGCTAGTTCCTCTGGTCTCGGTCTGATATTAAATACAAAGCGTGTGCCCCAACATGCGTCCACTGTTCCCGTCTGATTGTTTAGCAATTTCGTTAGATTTTGCAATTGGAAACGGTGTTGCCAGTTTTATTTTGGATCCTGTCCCCTAAAACTCCATGGATGTGTGTGATTCTACAATTGTAAACGGAGTTGCCAGTTTTATTCTGAGTCCTGGTAACTGACCCCAATAAAGATTTAAGTGGGCCGCAGACGATCATGCATACATGACATCAAAATCGTATACGTGTGCATGAAGCTTCAGCGCACACGGTTCATGCATTTTGCATTTGATTTCGTGCCGTACAGACAATGTTGACAACGGACGATACAATTTTTTCGATTTTGTCCTTGTGCTTAAAAAATAGAGAAAATGCTGAAAAAGGGCTGAGAACGACCGGGATACTTCCAACCAAGGTAGATATACAAGGTAGCCGCATCGGCGAATTTCTACAACAAACATCGGTTGTTGTATTTTGATATGTCAAAAATATTTTGCCAAAACAAACATATTGACAAGATTTTTTTACACAAATTCTTGTAGCAACGTTACCTATGATTCGACGGGGCGTACAGAAAAATTCAACTTCCCCACTATTGTAAAATGTTGTGTACGGCCGTATTACCCAAATACGTCGAATCCATATCTTCAAGCGAATAATACAAACCGCAAAACAAAATTGAAAATTTATTAAATTAATCCAAATATTTTATGTTCACATTCGAAATTTCATATTTTCTGAATGTTTTGTTTTTATTTTCAACAAAAGAAAAATACAAAAAATACGTTCTGTCAAAGTTGAAAATTTTCAACTTGAAATTTTGTACGCTCGACGTATTTCGGTAACATTCATATAAATACATGTGTTCTACTTTTGTGGTGAAAAACGTCGAACGAGCTAGTCGAATTTTAGGTAACAGCCGTACCTGTTACATATTTGAATACGTTTTATAATTTCTTAATTTTATTTCGCGATTTTGTTTAGTTTGCTAAGAGAAATGGATTCACCGTATTTGGGTAATACGGCCGTACAAAACATTTTGTCATAGTGGGGAAATTGAATATTTTTGTACGCTTCGTTGAATTTGAGGCAACGTTATAAGGCTGTAGAAAATGTTAATAAAAGTATTCCCAAACAAGATTTTCATTTATAATTTTGTTTTTTAATTTTTTGGTTCAACATTACAACAACATTTTTGACATTTATTTTCCGATGCGGCCACCTTATTAAATATACCTTGCTTCCAACAACTCTATAACATTTTTTTCGCAGTATCCGACATCTCTATACAGCCATTCCCTTTGAAAACACGTCACAAATAAGAATATGCATGATGCCTCCACCGCACACACGTCAAAATCGAACGTCATGCATGCGAAAAATCAAAAATTTTTGATTTTGCTTCATGCATGCATGACCGTTTACGGGCCACTTTAAAAAAGTCCTGTGTAATAGCTCAATCTTTCTTAAGGCGCGTTTAGACTACAGCTTTCATCGTTATAAAGTGCATTATCTCGATTTGATTGCTTGATCGAGTTGAATTTACCTCGATTTACCATACAAATTTAAATCTATTCATTATATCGAGTTGATCGAAATACCATGCCAAATACGCGTTTAGACTATAGCTTTTATCGTGATAAAGTGCATTATCTCGATTTAGATGCTAAATAGAGTTGAATTTACCTCAATTTAAACTCCTTGTACATTAGAACTTTTTACCGGGTTAACATACTTTATGAGGATTTATTCGACATATATGCAAAGGAAATGACAATTGAAACCCACTGGGTTAACGAAATCCGGTACTGTTGCTATACAAAATTAAATCCACTTGATTACAAATTGACAAAGAAATCATGGAAGCAGTGAAATGTGTATGTATACGTTAACAAATAACAGTTGAGAAATCAACTTCATTTCATTTTAATACTAATCTAAACGACAAGTATTAAACTAGTTAACATTTCAAATAACTGTAGAACAACAGTTGCTGATTTAATTGATTTAATTTTTTTAATTTAAAATAAATATTACTGCAATTTAAATAACAAAACAAATGTTTTTATGCATTCCTAAACTAAAGGCTCAAAATTAAACCATGGCTGTTAAAACTTATATTTATAAGTTTTAGAGGCGGGGAATAAATTATTTAGCAATTTTTCCCACTGAACACATGACGATGCGTACAAATTGGAAACTTATGACTGCATAAAGCTAAGCAGAATGTTCGCGTTAAGCGTTTTTTGTTATCGCGTTAACGCACTCAAAAAGTTAAAATATATCTAACTCCGAAGCGCAGCGCACATCGACTTCGAGCGTTTGTGTTATCGTTGCTTCTGACATTGAAATTTAATAATCGACAACATTTGGTCTGTTCCCGTACAACAAGAATCTACTAGATTTTACTATTTTCTTCGATATCATAAAGGAAAATTCGTTATCGTAGTAAAAAATAATAGATTCTTGTTCTACGGGAACAGACCAATTGAGTTCTTTAATCACCAATAGTTTGTAAAGAAAAAATTTGAGTATAAAGAACTTACTTAAAAATTACTTTCAAATGATCACTGCCCTTACAAGGCAAAATTCAAATAACAAAAAATTTGAAAGTATGGGGGATTTTCAACAAATATATCCGATAACGATTGCTCATTACAGCCATTAAAAATAGGCTTTGGATTTTTCAACACAGTGATGCCAAATTGGGGATTAGATCTTTTTATTTTATTAAATTTTCGATACAATCATGGAATTTGGGATACAATTTTAAGGATGAATTATTATCCCTAAAAATAAAAAGGCATCGTTTTGAAAGTCGCAAATAAAATGTCCCGAAGGCATGGAGAAAATATCGTTTGTGAAATGCAGTCATATGTTGGAGATAAAATTTAAAAAAATATATATTTTTTGGAAGAAAACCCCAAACCCAGTTAAAGGATTCTGCAGGACTATTATCAAATGTGCCGGCAAAACATTTTAATACAAAACAAGTACTGATTAACGCATGATACAATTATACAAGTGGGGTAGCTTTTGTCAGAAAGGAGAAAATACACCTCTATCTTATGGGCAATAATGTCGGAATAAATGAAAAGAAATGCAACAAGTCGTTCTGTTCATTTGACATATTTTTAACATTTTATCAAAAACGCAAAAAATCAATGGAAAGTCAGGTTTTGTGATATGATTTACATTTTGTATCATTCACAAGTCATACATTTCTTCTTAGAAATGTTGTAAAATTCATCTTCAAACAAATCGATTTTCGAATATATTTTGTTACATTTTTCAAAACATTATACACACAGTCAGGCATTTGTATATGACTTTGGCATAACAAGCCACAGTATGACAAATTGTAATTTATAAGTACATGGTACAATTATTCAAGCATATCTTGAATAATTGTACCATGGATTAACGCAATAATCTACTAATTTAGTTCCTTCCCATACCATTTATAGAGAAAATGGAAATCTTTTTCGATTAATTGTAAATTCTTGCGGGTTCTGAAAGTTCTAAAATAAATATATAGGGAATTTTTGGAGATTATAAATTATTTCTGGGGATTTGAGTTAGAAAAAAACTGGCAACGCTGTTTCAACATAACAAATCGATTAATCGATTAGTCGACTTAAGTATCCCTAAACATTATCGTGATTTTGCAGTTTCCAGACAAAGTGAACGAAATTTGACAGTCATTTGCAAATTTGGCTGATTTGTAATTGTTTTGAGAAATTTATTTTGCCATCTAATCTCCAAATACAACGAAGCATACTTGAGTTGAATCCACTCGTATTAATAAACGAAATCGTAAAAATGAGTATTACTTCTGCGGCTGGGATAATTTCCCTGCTCGACGAGCCGATGCCGGATTTGAAGGTTTTCGCCTTAAAAAAGCTGGACCATATCGTCGATGAGTTTTGGCCGGAAATATCCGAGTCTATTGAGAAGATAGAAATGCTGCACGAAGATCGATCTTTCCCAGAAAATAAGTTAGCTGGAATGGTGGCGTCAAAGGTCTTCTATCACTTGGGGTCATTTGAAGATGCCCTCACTTATGCTCTCGGTGCTGGCGATTTATTCGATGTTAATGCTAGAAACGAATACACCGAAACTATAATTGCAAAATGTATAGATTTTTATATTGCTCAGCGTGTTGCGTTTATAGAAAATCCCAAGGAAGCTAAACCTGTTGATGTCCGGTTGGAGGCCATTGTAAATCGTATGATTCAACGGTGCTTGGACGACGGTCAATTTCGCCAGGCATTGGGCATTGCTCTGGAAACCAGACGTATGGATATATTTGAGTCCGCTATAATGAAATCGGACGATGTTAGCGGTATGCTGGCGTACGCTTACAATGTCACCATGTCATTAATTCAGAATCGTGGCTTTCGTCACGAAGTTCTACGTTGTCTGGTTGGTCTTTATCGCGATTTGGGAGTTCCAGATTATGTCAATATGTGTCAATGTTTAATATTTTTGGAGGATCCGTTGGCCGTTGCAGAAGTATTAGACAAGTTGACAAGGTCTTCGAAGGAAGCCAACAACTTAATGGCGTATCAAATTGCCTTTGATTTATATGAATCCGCAACGCAGGAGTTCCTAGGAAATGTTCTTCAAGCGCTTAAAGAAACAGCGCCCATTCCTACCGCTCTGCCCAGCATTTTCAAACCACAGGGCACGAACCCTTCAACCAAAACTGAGGAGGAAAAATCTAAAGATGAATCCAAAAGCGAGGAAGCAGGTATATTCTAGATACATTGTACTGGTAGTGGAAACTATTGTAGCTATTTCCTTTTCAGATCTTAAGACGGAACGCACTGTTGATTCTCTAAATGACTCGGAAAAAGCACATCAGAAGAACATTGAAAAGCTGATTTCAATACTTTCGGGAGAGGTGACAATTGATTTACAGTTACAATTCCTCATCCGTAGTAACCATGCAGACCTGCAGATTCTAAGAGCAACAAAGGAAGCTGTACGCGTATCTATATGTCATACAGCCACTGTAATCGCCAATGGTTTTATGCATGGGGGAACTACTTCAGATCAATTTTTGCGAGATAACTTAGATTGGTTAGCACGTGCTACTAATTGGGCTAAGCTGACAGCCACAGCTTCGTTGGGAGTCATACATCGGGGCCATGAAAAAGACTCGCTGGCCTTAATGCAAAGCTATCTGCCTAAGGAAGCCGGTCCTAGCTCGGGGTACTCAGAGGGTGGTGGACTTTATGCATTGGGGTTGATCCATGCGAACCATGGTGCTAATATAATAGACTATTTGTTACAACAACTGAAGGATGCTCAGAATGAGAATGTTCGTCATGGCGGTTGTTTGGGTCTGGGTCTAGCTGCAATGGGAACCCATCGCCAAGACTTGTACGAACAATTAAAGTTCAATTTATACCAAGATGATGCCGTTACTGGTGAAGCTGCTGGCATTGCTATGGGCATGGTCATGTTGGGATCTAAAAATCCACAAGCTATTGAAGACATGGTGTCGTACGCCCAGGAGACACAGCATGAGAAAATTCTACGTGGGCTAGCTGTGGGAATTTCCCTAACAATGTTTTCCCGACTAGAGGAAGCGGACCCCTTAATCCTTTCTCTATCCACTGATAAGGACCCAGTCTTGCGGCGTTCAGGTATGTATACTATAGCTATGGCGTACAATGGCACAGGCAGCAATAAGGCCATTCGAAAGTTGCTGCACGTTGCAGTTTCCGACGTAAATGACGACGTCCGACGTGCTGCTGTCACCGCCATTGGATTTATATTGTTCCGTACCCCAGAACAATGCCCATCCGTGGTTAGCCTTTTAGCCGAATCATACAATCCTCATGTACGGTACGGAGCTGCTATGGCTTTAGGCATTGCTTGCGCTGGTACAGGCCTAAGGGATGCTATTGCATTGTTGGAACCAATGGCTCGTTTGGATCCCGTAAACTTTGTGCGACAGGGCGCATTAATAGCGTCCGCAATGATACTTATACAGCACACTGACAATACATGTCCTAAAACCACATTCTTCCGCTCGTTGTACGACGAAGTAATCTGTAACAAACATGAAGATGTTATGGCCAAATTTGGTGCTATTCTGGCCCAGGGTATTATCGACGCTGGTGGTCGAAATTGTACCATATCATTGCAATCTCGCACTGGTCATACAAACTTGCAGGCAGTTGTTGGTACTTTGGTATTTACACAGTACTGGTATTGGTTTCCCTTGGCACATGCCCTCTCATTGGCGTTCACCCCAACATGTGTCATAGGCTTAAATTCTGACCTCAAAATGCCTCAAATGAAATTCAAATCAGCTGCAAGGCCTTCTATATATGCATATCCTGCTCCTTTGGAAGAAAAGAAATCTGAGGAACGCGAGAAAGTTGCAACAGCTGTTCTGTCTATTGCTGCTCGCCAGAAACGTCGTGAGACTGCCGATAAAAAAGAAGATGACAAGATGGACGTGGATCAAGATGAAAACAAGGACTCCGCATCCACGTCCAAAAAAGAAGAAGATACAAAACCAGACGAGAAAAACAAAGTGGATGAAAAGAAAAAAGCTGCCGAAACATCTAAAAAAGAAGATGAAAAAGAGAAAGACACGCCATCTAACGAAAAGGATAAAGACAAAAAAGAGGATAAGGACAAAGAGCCCAAATTCGAAATCCTCGAAAATCCTGCTCGTGTCATGAGGCAGCAACTCAAAGTTTTGAGTGTTGCCGAAAATCAGTCGTATGTTCCCCTGAAAGATGTAACCATTGGCGGCATTATAGTGATGCAACACACAGGAAAGGCGCAGGAACAAAAACTAGTCGAACCTGTTGCTGCATACGGTCCAAAGAACGACGATGTTAAGGAGCCCGAGCCACCAGAGCCCTTCGAATACATTGAAGATTAAACAATTGTAACGATTTTTATTATTAATTCATGTCACCAATGCAAAACGATAATGCACAAACGCATCTAGTAGTTGTATTGTCACAATAATGCATTCAATATATTATTAATAAAATATTTGTGGAAAAAATAAATATGTTTATAATGAGATGAATATTAGATACATAGTCGCATATTCTCCGGACTGTCAAGGCCCTTTTTTCGGGAACTATACATTTCCTCCACTGCAATCAAGTCAAAGAGGACTAAATAAAACAAAATTTTCAAGGTCTGCGGGTGGCGAATTCATGCCAAAGTCTTCTCTTGCTGTCAACTTCATACTCGCGACTTCGAATATTTTTTATTTTTTCATTTATTCTTCAAACCAAGGTTTATTCATGTATAAACCTTGCTTCAAACAAAAAATGTTGACAGTCAATGAAGACTTCAGCTGCATGCATGCAACCATGGTACAGTAATAATAATTATTATACTATGCTTGCAACCAACCAAATTTAATTTGCTAAAAAACTAGTAGTAGATATTTTTTATACGTTTTCGTCATGACATAATAAAATAAACCAACGATACAACAACCACATGGAAAATTGTTGTTCTCAATGAACTGTCACATATCGAAAATTTTATTTTAATTTTGGTTCATCCCATATACATATGTTTATTTTTGTATATGCTAATTGCAACCGAATGAGATTTTTTTCCAATTGGCTGGCAACTTAAAGTACATTACATTGAAGTCTTGTAAATTTATATAAAAGCACATGAAGAATTGAAAGATAAAAAAAACTGAATTGAAATATTTGGCACAAAAATTAACAAAATGGCGGACATATGAAATTCAATGTTTGAAAAATTCCCTATGTCGACCACAAATCGAGTTAGAAAATAAGGAAGATCTTGACCGATTGCATTTATCCTAGTTCATACGATAGCTACATATATACACACAGAATGACGTGTTAAAATTTGGAAAGGATTGGATATCGTGCCCGACATTTGTAAAACCACTGCTTAGAGATAAAAAGGGGTTAACATTTAAAGAGTAAAAATTATTCAGTAAATATTCAGCCTTACTGGAAATCAATAAGGCTGCTTTCAAAATTTAAATGAAAATGTCTTCCTTCGAAATGTACGCATATCATGTGTTCAGTGGCAAAATTGCTAAATAATTTATAATTATAAATATTTCCCTGCCTCTAAACGTATAAATATAAGTTGTAACAACCATGGTTAAATCTTCAGAGCAATATTCAGGTTTAGAATTTTTTTAATTTATTTAAAATATGCCAAACGGCATACATAAAATTGTAAAATTGACAATAAATTAAGTAAGCTAAGTAGTTCCGACCCCTCACATTTGCATAAATTGTAATGCCCTTTTACATTAATTTTATATATTTATATTATAATATTGTTTGAACAGTTTAACATCCCTTTTTGAATAATATTAATTCAATTTGTCGAAATGAATTTTATATTGTTATTTTTTACTTAATTTCCATTTATAATTTTACTTACTATGTATAATAAATAGTAATTATTATTTTGAGTAGTTTATCAAACGTTGCATGTATAAACCCAGACTTAAAATTTTTTCTGAAGGTGGCTTTTTCCATCAAATCAAAATACATATTTTGTGTATGTGTGTGTATTGTTTTGAATACTATGTCAAAGCAGGGGTAAGCAGAATGGTCGCGTTGAGCTTTTTTTGAAATCGCGTTAACGCACGCAAAAAGTTTAAATATATATAACCCCCGAAGCGCAGCGCTCATCAACTTCAAGCGTTAAAGGGCTAAGCAGAATGCTCGCGTTGAGCCATCCGTCGCGTTATATGTTATCGAAAATACAACAACCACAATGAAACGATATGCGTTTGTGTTATCGTTTCCTTGTGGTTGTTGTATTTTCGATAACACATAACGCGACGGATGGCTCAACGCAAGGTAGATATACAAGGCAGCCGCATTGGTGAATTTCTACAACAAATCGGTTGATGTTTCTGATATGTCAAAAATATTTTGCCAAAACAAACAGATTCACAAGATTTTTTACACAAATACTTGTAGAAAATGTTAATAAAATTATTGCCAAAAAATTATTCGAAATTCTGAGATTTTTATTTAAAATTTTGTTTTTAATTTTTTGGTTCAACATTACAACAACATTTTTGACATTTATTTGCACCAACAGTTGGGCCATGGTCCAATAAACAGGTCGAGTCAGAAGCAATTTTGGAGTAAAATCCCCCATACTGTCAAATATTTTGTTTACATTTTACACAATCGAAAGCATTTTGACAGCTCGGGTGAAATCATCTGGCCTTATCATTTTTATTATTGGATCATGAGCTGGGCCAATGCGGCTACCTTATTAAATATACCTTGGCTCAACGCAAACATTCTGCTAAGCCCTCAGCGCTTGAAGTTATTGTTTGCTACGCTTCGATTTAACTTTTTGCGTGCGTTAACGAGATAACAAAAAATTAACTATGCGGACATTCTGCTTATTATGTGGTGAAAAAATGTCAAATAAGCACAACCACTTGTTGCGTATATTTATTTTATATTTGGCAGAAGACGGCACCACCTATATATATATATATATATATATTTTTTTTTTGTTATTCAACTCAAGCTGCCCTACATTGTAGTATAATTGTTCCATCGTAACCATGGTATAATAATAAAAGGTAACAGCAAGTGTTGTTGTACAAAAAACGATACAACAACCACATGGAAATTTGTTGTTGTAAGTTCTACTAGTGTCAACTCATTTGACAGAAAAATGTAAACAAACAAACAAATTATCATCAAATTATTTTTATTTTGAAAATGGAATATTTTCGAATCCTCAAAATAAAAATTGAAAAACATGAATGAAAATCTATCAAATTTATATTTCTATCGCTTCCACATCTTTCCTTTAATTGAGCCATTGCCATATATATGTGTAACACATATGACAATGCTGGGAATAGCGAGTAATTCCTTCAAGAAAGATTTGCTTCCTCAAACTTTCCCAGCAGGCAGATTGAGTAAATTGAATACGGAAGCACATTAATAAAGAACAATTTCAAATTGTATGCGTTCCCAATTTCCTGTTGGGTGATTTTTAAAAACATAATTTGTCAAATTTATATTGACACTAGTATTACGTTGGAATCAAATCAGCTGGGATTTGCTGTTACCTTTTATAATTGTACCATGCATCGTAACAAGCCACAATATGACAAAATTTTAATTCATAGGTTGCTACCTTGAATAATTTTACCATGCATACAACTATTTATAATATTAAATATAGTCATAGAATAACTATTGTGGAGATATTTTATATATATTTAATATTTATATTTATGTAGTCAGTTCCCTTTAAATTTATTAGCGAAAAATTTCGCACAAAATTAATAAAAAAATGTCCCCAAAGCGGATTTTTGAAATTGCAAAAAAGAAAACGCGGCAATTTCTTTTTCAGTATAACTTCAAAGGGAAGAGCGAACAAATTCACCGTGAATTGATTTCCAGAATAAGGCTTATTTCATAATTGAGGGTCGAACAACGAATAGAGGGCGAAAAAAGCCCGCCTGTAAATGGCATTAATAATGTCAGAAAATAAAACTATTCCGAGTATCGGCTGACAATTTGAAAACAAAAATATGTTTAACACAACATAAAAATGTTATCAGTAAGAATATTTCAATACTCTGTGCACAGCGGCCAAAATTTCTCTCTAAACTTACTCTCATTTACTGAACTTTTAAGTTACCGATCAACGTTCAGTAAGAATTTGTACAAATTTTTGGGTTATCAAACAAACCTATTGTATGATATATTCGACTTTTATTTATACAAAAAAATATAATTCAGTTACATTTACTACTCATAAAACAAGGAATTTAAATTCAGATACTTAATTATTTCTCAAATATATGTATTTTATAACGTTCAAAAATAAACAGGACTTATAAGAAGTAAAAAGAGGGACAAACGCATCTAAGCAAAACTGAATCCAATTAAGAATATAAAAAGTAACATATTCAGTGTAACACTTAATCGGAGTCGGAATCGCTACTTGATGCAACAGCAGATTCTTTACTACGCGTGGATTGGTTTGCATTTGGTGGATCGTAATAGTGCAATTGTTTGCGCCATATTTTTACAAGTCCATCAAAAGCTCTACGACTATATTTGCCGTATTTATTAGGTGTGCGAGGATGATCACGGTTACGTTGCGCTTTGGGAACCATTTCCAAATATCTTTCATATGCTACAGTATTTTTGCCATAATCAATTTGTTTTTGTCGGCGTGAGAGCACGGCAGCATCAGTCTCCGTGTATGAGGACGATGATGAAGAAGACGATGTAAAACTATTTTGCCTAGCGCGTTTTTCGTTCTTGTGACTGTTAAAGTACCGAGTGTGATCAGCGTCATTGCTAATATTACTGTCACAGCTGCTATTCGGGCTGTTGGAACGTGTATCAATGCTCGGCGTTTCGGAGTGGCGTCTCTTAAATGGTGTTTTTAGTTTCTCCTCCTTTAAAAGACGCTCAAATTTTTGTTCATTTACATTATCAATAAATTCCAAGGAGATGTCCCTTCGAGAATCGCCCTCTGTTAGACTGTTGTTAAAAGAACACTGAGACTGCAAATGCGAAAATTGTTTACTTCACATTCTACGAGACTTTCTATTGTCTACTTACATGAGAATCAGCTTCATCAGCCCAAGAACGGCTGCCCGCGCCAACGTCTTTTTGTTCCATTGTCATAATTGCAGTATTCTCGCAAACCATCATTACGTGATTGTAATTATTACGTTTAATAGGATGTAATTCTTAACCGTTCAACTTTCCTCCTCCGCAACCAATTCACATCTGAAATACAAACAAAATTGTTTATGTTTGCATCAAAAAATTCGCGCGTTTTTTTTTTGAGTATTTGGTAATTTAAAGGACAATTACTCGAAGTAATCATATTCAACAGCCAATTATTGAGAATTGATACTTCTAAATTGTTCAACTTTCACCCTCTACAGATTTGATCAATGATAGGGGGTACTCTTTTCATCTGGATCAAAGTAAGAAATCTAGTGAGATTTAGAAATCTAAAAACATATTTTTTTAGTTTTTTACATATTTATTTATATAGCCTATACACCATCCAATCAATTGCTTCGCTAATTCATTTTTGTGAGGAAAAAACTAAAAACAGGTAGTGGCAAATAAAATAACATGGACAATCGGTAACTGGGTTTGAGAATATTTTAACCATCTGTATTAGGTTTCTATAGTCTGGATATGTATTGTAGCATAGACGTTTTATACGGCGGTTACATTAGAACTTTTTACCGGGTTAACCTGCTCTATGAAGATTTATTTGACATATATACAATGGAATTGATAATTTAAACCCACTGAGTTAACGAAGTCCGGTAAAATATAAACGCCGTATTACAATTATAACAACGTTAAGGAGCGTTTAGACTATACCTTCTATTGTGATAAAGTGCATTACATAGATTTTTGCTATACAAAATTGAATCCTCGATTTGCTCGAAATCCTACTCTTAAACGAAATAATTTCAAATACGACATTGCTGTAACCCTAAAAATAATAGTTAATGTTCAAAATAGCTGCCAAATAAAAATATGTCATAATAAAGACTTTGTCACACGTCAATGTCGTATGTACTGTCACATTTTACATATGGGAGTACTGTACACGTCGTGTGACCCACACGAAAATTTGAATCTGTTACAATGATGTGACAAAACATATGTAATTTTTCCGTTTAGTGACTGCTCTATTACTGTATGTATTTTCATATTGTTTCGAATATAACTTTAGATTTAAGTTAATTTAGATGAATTCCGTTAATTTAAGAGAATTGTAACGTAAATTTCTACTACGCAGTTTATTCGAATAACTTCACAACAACAACTACTGTATAGATTTTTCTACTACGCAGTTTATTCGAATAACTTCACAACAACAACTACTGTATAGATTTTTCTACCTCCTTCCATTTCCTCTTTCATTGTCTATTTTGTTATTGACGTACAATTCTTGTTAAACGTCATCATTGATGATCGCTTAATTCCTCTTTCTTTGTTACTCCCTCGCCTGTATATGTGTTGTTGTTATTGTAATCAGAAAGAACCCGCGTTTTATTTAGTACGAACTGTATTGGGAAATAAAACAACGTCTACACGGGATTAATTAAAATCCGAGAACGTAACAATATGTAAAATAAATAAATCACCTGTTTTGATCGCTTGGCAAATAAAGATACATTTTTGGTACAAAATAACTTGAAGAAATAAACTTAAATATGTGGAAGGATAAAATTAAACAAAAATGCATATACACGTGTGAACACAAAGGTAAAAGATGCATGTAAAGAAGCAATTTTGACATACATACAAATTGAATGTACCGAAAAACTGACAGCACATATAATATTGATGGTTCGTATAATAATGCCTTAAATATTACTATAATATAGAACAACATAGTTTTTATGCATTTCTGACCCACCTGACCTTTACAAAATGATGAAAGTATAATTTGAAAAATTGCCTACAAAAATCAAGAAAGCTGTGAAATGCTTATGTATACGTAAGCATATAACAGCTGACAACTCCACTTCATTTCATCTTAATCATGGCCTATAAATAAGGTCACCAAGATAGCATTCGAAATCGGAAAACAGCTGTTTTTTCTCAAGTCTAATGCCAAAATTTTCGACTTTGTTTACGTTTTCGTAATGGAAGTCAATTCACAATAATGCATTTTGACAGCAAACTTGAGAGGTATCGATTATCAGCTGGTCTCCCTGGGTGACCTTATTTATAGGACATGATCTTAAAGGGCTAAACAGAATGTTCGCGTTGAGCGTTTTTTGTTATCGCTTTAACGCACGCAAAAAGTTAAAATATATTCAACTCCGAAGCGCAGCGCACATCAACTTCGAGCGTTTGTGTTATCGTTTTCTTGTTTTTTCGATAACATATAACGCGACGGATGGCTCAACGTGAGCGTTCTGCTTAGTCCTTTAAGAGCTAAACAGAATGTTCGCGTTTAGCGTTTTTTGTTATCGCGTTAACGCACGCAAAAAGTTAAAATATATTTAAGGGTTAAGCAGAATGCTCGCGTTGAGCTATCCGTCGCGTTATATCTTATCGAATGGCTCAACGCGAGCATTCTGCTCAGTCCTTTAAGGGCTATCCGTTGAGCCATCCGTTGCGTTATGTGTTATCGAAAATACAGCAACCACAAGGAAACAATAACACAAACGCATATCGTTTCCTTATGGTTGTTGTATTTTCGATAACATATAACGCGACGGATGGCTCAACGCGAGCATTCTGCTTAGCCCTTTAAGGGCTAAACAGAATGTTCGCGTTGAGCGTTTTTTGTTATCGCGTTAACGCACGCAAAAAGTTAAAATATATTTAACTCCAAAGCGCAGCGCACATCAACTTCGAGCGTTTGTGTTATCGTTTCCTTGTGGTTGTTGTATTTTCGATAACACTTAACGCAACGGATGGCTCAACGCGAGCATTCTGCTTAGCCCTTTAGGATTTGATATCTCGATTTACAAATCAAGTCGATTTATAAAACATGGTCTAAACGCGCCTTTAACTAATAGCGCATTTAAATACGCATTTTATATGATGTGGATTTACGAATTCCTGAAAATAAATTAAGGTTTTTACACTGGCTTTGAGATTATTTAGGAATGGGAGTAAGGTGATAATTTTTTACATATTCAAATGCACTCACAATAACAACAAATTCGTTGTTAAAATTTTTATTTTTGTTTTTGCAAAATAGTCAGGCTGAATCCCAGTTTGTTGTTTTTATAAAAAACAACTATTTATTAGTGGAAAATGTATGGCATTGTTTGCCGAGGGGTAAGGCAGGGAAGACTATAGTTTCGGATCACGCCACTGATCCTCATCAGTTCCCTTAGTTTTTTGTTGGGATATTCTCCCCAGAAGCTATTGCTTCTATACAAAAAACCTTTCATACCCAAATGTCTCTTGTAACAAAGCGAAGTACTTAGCTGACCAACGACATAAACTGCATGAGAATTTCGCTGGAGCCTCACTTCGAGGTTAACAAGGCATTTACAAACAATACCACACCTTTCCCACTGTTGTGTGTTGTCACATCGCGACAAATGCACACAACGACTTTGTTGGTGTTGCTAGTGTACAGCAACAAACCAAACAGTTTAACCGTGCCTGCCTCTACAACTTCAGTAGTGTTGGCGGTTTATTTGGGATACCATTTGTATTTTGTTTTTGCAAAATAGTCAGGCTGAATCCCAGTTTGTTGTTTTTATAAAAAACAACTATTTATTAGTGGGAAATGTATGGCATTGTTTGTCGGGGCTTTCATACCCAAATGTCTCTTGTAACAAAGCGAAGTACTTAGCTGACCAACGACATAATCTGCATGAGAATTTCGCTGGAGCCTCACTTCGAGGTTAACAAGGCATTTTTTTTTGGCAAATATAGAACCTGTTAAAGCATATTTATTTTTTCTTTCAAAAATGCAATTTGAAGCCTCAAAGGCCGATTTTAGATAAATTGCAAACCATACTACTCCTACTACTGTAATAATTAAATCTTGATGACTATATCTTATAAAGGTATGATAATCCGAACATATAATATTATTAAGTTTTTTTAAATGACATATTCATTATGAAGCAAGTAATAACGTAATATACAAGATCGAATTTGAAATTTGTGTGTTTTAAAAGTATGTTACAATATTATTAAATAGAAAACTGAAAGCTACTCCAAATACATTTTTAACATAGTATTATGATTTTAATATATTTATTTGCAATTAGAAGCCTTAAAGGCCGATTTTAATGAAATTGCCAATCAAATTAGCATGCCCAATTTTAATTTTCACAGATATTGTGGAAAGCTTATACATTTATTTATTTATGTTATGCGTATATTTATGTGAAACCGAAGTGGTTTATAATTTTTGTTTTATATGTGCTGCTTGATAATGAAAATTTCTTTAGAGAATGCGGAAGGTTATTGAATGTTCTAGCGATTCGCACATGAAATGACTTATTCATAAAGCCGATAGCTCTGGGAACTATTAATTGAGTGCTTGAACGACAAAAGGGAAACATATGCAATAGAAAATCGGGAGTTTGTTCTTTAGTAACATTATAGAACAGCATTAATGATCTGCTGTCTATAAATCGCCAAAAAGAGCAGCCGAGGAATAGTTTTACTTTCGGGCTTACGTGATCAAGCCTTTTAAGTGAATAAATATAACGAACCACTCGGTGAATCAACATTTTAATTTTTTTCATATTCGTTTTAGTTGTACCGGAGAAAATTTCAATACAATATAATATGTGAGACATAATTAGGGAATGTACCAGTTGTAACTTTACATTGCGAGGTAAAATTAAATCAGTGTTGTACAGTTGGCGTAATGCTAAATGTGTGTGGTTTACAACGTTGTCGATATGGCTGTCAAATGTTAGTTTATCATCAATAATTATGCCAAGGCATCTTATGCTATTTACGATATTAATAATTTGACAGTTATAAGTCAGTGACAAATTAGAGTGAGCATAATTAGGAAAAACCACAGCCTGTGTTTATGTCTGAAAGATTTCTCCTTATAGAGTCTGTTAAGCCCACTTGTAGCATAGACGTGCTTCGATGACTTCGAAAGCCGCATTGGCAATCATCAAGCATATTGTTCTTCTCCAAATAATTATCAAGTTGCATTTTTAATACATATTCCACAC